GTGTACTGGTGTGTGTGTGTGTGTATTTACTGGTGTGTGTGTGTGTACTGGTGTGTGTGTACTGGTGTGTGTGTGTATGTACTGGTGTGTGTGTGTGTACTGGTGTGTGTGTGTACTGGGGTGTGTGTGTATTAGTGTGTGTGTGTACTGGTGTGTGTGTGTGTGTGTACTGGTGTGTGTGTACTGGTGTGTGTGTACTGGTTTATGTGTGTGTACTGTGTATGTGTCTATTTACCGACTGAGGGACATTCATTGAGTTGTGCAGCTTTGTGCCAAAGGCGACTCCGGCGGCAGACAGCAGCAACAGCAAAGAGTTTCTGCCGATTACAATGAGACTCCCCTCCCCTCCCTCCTCCCTCCCTCCCCCTCCCACCAGCTCGCCAGCCAGCCAGCTCGCAAAACGAATTTCTAAGATAAGTAAGATATCGTATACCACAGATTTATAAATATTTATTTTAAAATGTTTACCCGGTAATGCCCACGGAGCTAAACAGTCGCTCGCTTTTTCCCAGAAGCGACCTGGCCACCACAAATGACAGCTCAACGATGTGGATCGTCATCACGTGGACAATGAAAGCAGCCTCATACTGTGTGTGTGCATGTGTAATGGGTTCCGGAGACACTTGTAAAGGTAACTTCTTTATTACAATACAACACTCCCTTCAGTCCTGATACTCTGTTACAGCTGTCGTCGTCATCGTCGTCGTCATCATCATCGTCATCATTGTCGTCGTCATCATCGTCATCGGCGTCGTCATCATCGGCATCATCATCGTCGTCGTCGTCATCATCATCGTCATCATCGTCATCATCATCGTCGTCATCATCATTGTCATCATCATCATCGTCGTCGTCATCGGCGTCGTCATCATCATCGTCGTCGTCATCGGCGTCGTCATCATCATCATCGTCGTCATCATCATTGTCATCATCGTCGTCATCATCATCGTCATCATCATCATCGTCGTCGTCGTCATCGGCGTCGTCATCATCATCGTCATCATCATCGGCATCATCATCATCAACGTCATCGGCATCATCGACGTCGTGATCATCGTCATCATCATCATCGTCATCATCATTGTCATCATCATCATCGCCGTCGTCATCGGCGTCGTCATCATCATCGTCGTCGTCATCGGCGTCGTCATCATCATCATCGTCGTCATCATCATTGTCATCATCATCGTCGTCATCATCATCGTCATCATCATCATCGTCGTCGTCGTCATCGGCGTCGTCATCATCATCGTCGTCGTCATCATCATCGGCATCATCATCATCAACGTCATCGGCATCATCGACGTCGTGATCATCGTCATCATCATCATCGTCGTCGTCGTCAGCTACGATGAACCCGCTGCTGGACGAAGGTTTCCCTAAGCTATCGACGTTCGATGTTCTAGGGTCCATGCGGTTGGGAGAGGGTAATCATCGTCATCATCATTATTATCGGGGGGGGGGGGGCGTTTGGATTTGCCGGGGGGCGAGTAGACGGGTGGGGGAGGGCACCGTGTTGGCTCTTAATAAATGATGTCTCTCGTGGACGTGCAGGGAATTGATCATCACCACAGCCATAAGCGTCCACCCCTCCCCCCTCCACGTCCACCGCTCTCCATCACTCAACCGTTCACCCCCACCACACCCACCCACACACACACGACCCCACACACACAACACACACAACACGCACAACACGACCCCACACACACAACACACACACAACACGACACCACACGCACAACACACACACGACACCACACACACAACACACAACACGACCCCACATACACAACACACACAACACACACGACACCACACGCACAACACACACAACACACACAACACGACCCCACACACACAACACACAACACGACCCCACATACACAACACACACACAACACACACGACACCACACGCACAACACACACACAACACGACACCACACCCACCCACACACACACGACACCACACACACAACACACAACACGACCCCACATACACAACACACACAACACACACGACACCACACGCACAACACACACAACACACACAACACGACCCCACACACACAACACACAACACGACCCCACATACACAACACACACACAACACACACGACACCACACGCACAACACACACAACACACACAACACGACCCCACACACACAACACACACAACACGACCCCACACAACACACAACACACACACACACACGACCCCACACACACAACACGACAACACACACAACACACACACCACACACACAACAGGACCCCACACACCACACACACAACACACACAACACGACCCCACACACCACACACACAACACACACAACACACACAACACACACGACACGACTCCACACACACAACACACACACCACACACACAACACGACCCCACACACCACACACACAACACACAGCACGATACCACACAACACGACCCCACACACACAACACACACAACACGACCCCACATACACAACACACACACAACACACCAACTACACACCACCCACACACCACACACCACCCACCACCCACACACCACACTCCCCTCCGCCCAAAGCCCCCACCAGCACCACCACCCCTCCCACCACCTCCATCTCACTCGACCACTTCACCCTCAAAATTCCCCACTGCTCACCCACGCCCCAGACCCCCCCCCCAACTTCACCCCACAGCTGCCCCCCCCCCGAACCCCCCCCCCACACATTTCCACCCCCGCCCCGCCACACGCCAAACCGCCCGCACTTTGCACCACCGTCACCCCATCACCATCGACCCCACCATCCACAACCATTCATACCCCACCCCCCACTCTACACCCCCCACCCCCCAAAATCCCCCCCCCACCCCCAAATGCAAAAACACTGCGGGCGTGCAACCGCGCGGTCGCATTGAAGCGAGGACGCGGGGGGAGAGAGGGGGAGGGACAGGGGGAGAGGGGGGAGGGAGAAGGGAGGGAGGGGAGGGAGAGGAGGGAGGGGGAGGGAGAGGGGGGGAAAGGAATAAAGATGGGGAGAGTGAAGGGGTGGAAAGGGAGGGGAGGGAGAGAGAGAGATAAGGGGAGAGTGGAGAGAGATAACGATTGCTCATCGTCATCATGAAATTAAACTTGTTTTATTTTTCCAGGTAAGGTCCCACTGAGCAGTGCAGATCTTTTGTCAGAAGCGACCTGGCTGACACAAATGACAGCCCAACGAAGTGGCTCGTCGTCACCGTGCGGACATTCATGGCAGCCAAACACTCTCAACGCAACGTCTCTAAACGCGTGTTGACGATTCCAAAATGTGGAGGGAAACACCGGACGACCCGAAGAAACATTCCACGCGACCAGATTCGAGCTGGAACCCACGACCTCCTGCATACCGGGCGAGGGAGTTAACATCTCCTCGCCACCGTGGGGAGAGAGTTGGGGAGGGAAAGGAGAGTGGGGAGCGGGAGGAGGAGGAGGAGAGGCAGTGAATAAGGGAGACTCGAAGGGCGACGGATCCCAACATCTTCAGGGGCTGGTCAATGTGCTTGTCGGCTACGCCAAGCTCGCCGTGCACAGGGCGAGGAAGGTGGCCCTGGAGGGGAAACGTCCGGCCAGCAGCCTGGGCATCGTCCGCGCTCTGGTCGGAGCCCCAGGGTGTGTGGGCCGGAGTTCCGCCATGCGGCGCGGCTGACCCACGCCGTGCCGGCCTTCAGGGAGCAGTGGGCGATGGAGGAGGCCGTGTGCTCGGTGGCAGATGACGGGGAGCTCTGCATGCTGATATGAGCTGCCCGTCGGAGGCCGTAAGACTGTGAGAAGGGCTGCGTGCAGATGCAGCACTTGTCGTAGTTAATTTATATTTATACAAATATTACATAGAAAACAGGGGGAACATAGACATGAAGGAGGGAGAGAGGGGGGTAGAGAGAGAGGTGGGGTAGAGAGAGGCGGGGTAGAGAGAGGGGTAAGAATGAGGAGAGCAGAGCGTGACATCTTTCGTGAAATTTTTCATTTAAAAAGGGGGGGGGCACATAAAGCAAAGCATTGAACAAAAAACCTAAATGATGAACGAAGCAAAGTGCCGACTACACCGAGCATCTTCTTGTTTCCTCTGATCGTACAAAAAAAGAGAGGTGATCGAATAGGAAGAATTGTGGAAAGAGTTAAAATTTGAGTCTTTGGGGAGCCAAAAAAAAAGGGATGGAGAGAGAGAGAGAGATAAATCAAGACAGGCGAAAGAGCGGAGTGTGAGACTGGAGAGAGGGAGGATGCACAGAGAGAGAGAGTGGGGAGGCGCTGGAGAGTAGGACGAGAGGCGAGCGAGTGGAGGAGATATAGGAGAGAAAGTCAGATTTACGGTGAGTCGAGAGCGATGGGAGAGAGCCGAGAGGGCGATACGGGAGAGGGAGATGAGAGCTCGGGATGAGGGAGAGCGTGCGAGAGTGAACAAGTGGGGAAAGTGGAGAGATCTGGGAGACCGACAGATCGCGAGGCAGTGGGAGACGAGGAGAGAGGGTCGCGGGAGAGGGAGCGAGTGCATAGAGAGGAGAGAGAGCGAGGTGGGGGGAGTTTAAGCATCGCGAGAGAGGGAAAACACGGAAAATATTTAATTTAAAAGGGGGGCAGCACATAAAGCAAAGGAAACCCCCCCCCAAAAAAAAAACGACATGAACGAAGCAAAGTGCCGACTAAACCGAGCATCTTCTTGTTTCCTGTGATCGTAAACAAAAAATGAGAGAGAAGGGGGAGATATAAGCAAGGGAAGAGAGCGACACGGGGAGAGAGAGAGCGGTGGGAGAGCGCGAGGAGAAATACAGGGAGAAGGGAGGGAGAGAAAAGAGAGAGACAATCACTGGGGAGAGAGGCACGGGGGGGGGGGTGAGAGAGAGAAGCAGCGGACGGGCAAGAGGGGAGGGAGAGAGAAGAGAGAGGGGGGGGGGCAGCGACGAGGGGGAGGGAGCGAGGGGTGAGAGGAAGGGAGCGAGAAGAGAGAGGTAGAGAGAGAGAGACACAGCGAGGGAGAGATGGAGACACAGCGAGAGAGAGAGAGAGAGACCCGCCACATCGCTTCTCAATTCACCCGCGCAGCCGTGAGCAGCCATCGGCGCCCTTCGCTATGAAGAATCACGGAGAAGCGCAGCATCATCATCAGCAGTAGCAGCAGCAGTAGCAGCAGCAGCATCATCAGCAGCAGCATCATCAGCAGTAGCAGCATCATCATCAGTAGCATCATCAGTAGTAGCAGCAGCATAAGCAGTAGCAGCATCATCACCAGCAGCAGCAGTAGCAGCATCATCAGCAGCAGAATCATCATCAGCAGCGGCAGCATCATCAGCAGCAGCATCATCATCAGCAGCAGCATCATCCTCCTCTACTGTCACCTCTTCACAATCGGCATTTTTTTCGTCGTCGGCGCCGTGGCTGCCCGGAATGAGTAAATCACATTGAGATTTCATTGTTTTCATTTGTATTCATTTTTATTATCATTTTAGGCGGAGGGGGGGAGGGGGTGTGCGGCGATTGGATTTAAACGGACGCTCGCTCGCATACCTGTTACGATGCGTCTAATGAACGCGCCTCCTTTGGGGTTGACGGCAAATTAATTGCTAGATACGTGACGTGTCAACCGCCGCTGCTGGATGTTGCCTGCAACAAGGACAGCCAGCAACAACGCATATGTCGCGTGATGCACCACCATCACCACCATCGTCGTCGTCGTCATCGCGCGAGCTTGGGATGAAGATCGCGGTGGACGCGATGACGGCCGTGATGGAGACGGCGGCGATGGAGACGCTGGCGATGAGGTGGAATTGTCGGCGCGAGGCTTGAGAGAAGGTGGGTTGGGGGGAGGTGGTGGTGGTGGGATTTTCAGCGGCGCTCACGTTGCCTCTGCTCGTAGCCGAGTCCCAAAGCCACGGGGGTGATCAATGCGCGTCGTGGGCCTACTCCTCCACATGGTCGAGCCAGCCTCTTTTAAACAACAACAACAACAAATATACTACCTTGGTGGTGCACCCGTGTTCATGGCCATAGTCGATTGGAGAGATAAAGACAGCTCGGAGTGTGGGGATAGCCACATGACAGCTGTCCTGCGCACTGTCGGCTTTAATAGGTGCTCGCTAACAGCACGACCTAATAGTCTGTTCAAGGGTATATGGGAGGGGGGTTGCGTGTATGTGTTCACGTCCGTGTGTGTCTGTACTGCATGCAAGTGTACGCGTGTATTGCACGTGTGTGTACTGCATCTATATCAACTCGGTGTGTACTGCAAGTGTGTATGTAGTCCGTGTGTGTATATGCACTGCAGATGTGTGTGTGTGTGTTTGTAATTCTTTAGTGTGTGTGTGTGTGGTACGAGCGGTGGCGTAGTGGTTAGCGCACTGCGTTAAAACCCCCGGCGACCAGAATTAGAATCCTACTCACGGCCCAACATCAGCGGCGAATCTCTGAAACCGCTCCGGACTCTGCACTGGGTCCACTCGATGTACACGGTGCAGTGCGAAAACGTCAGCTCTGGGGAGACAAAGGCGGCCGGGAGTGATGCTAATATTAATACATGCTTAATAAAAAAACACAGCACTTGCCTCGACAGCTATACGGAGGATATTTGTCTTTGTGCACATACGTGCGCGTGCTGTGTGTGCTGTGTGTTACCGCACGTGCACGACCGTGTGTTGATTAGCGTTTGACACGTGACTGAATTTCAATCATAAGTGCCGCATTTCTGTTTTCACCCCTCTACCCCAGCAAGGCCACGCGGAGTCTCGAGGCAAATTGTCGGGAGGCTCCCTCCTCCTGCCTCGGGATATTTGGCGAAGTGTGGGCAGCCCGATTCGTGACGAATCAATTTTTCGATCAGTCGACACGCCTGGGCGGTTTCACGAGGCTGTGTGTCGCCACCTCCGAATTATGAAATGAAGAACATTTAACGTAACGCTTTATGCGTAATGTGATTGCCATTAAAATGCATGCCAGACGGTTTGTCAAACTGGTTGTGTGTGTGAATTATAAACCCGGCGGCCCGAGTTCGATTTCCGCTCACGGCCAACACCGGTGAAGAATTTCTTGAACCGGTCCCGGCCTCCCCCCCCCCTAGGTAGATTCGGCCCAAAATGTGTATCTGGAGCGGTGTGTAAACATCGCCGCAGGGGAGACAAAGGCAGCCGGGCGTGGTGTTGGCCACCCACCCCCACGTGTGCCGTTCCGGCCTTCATAGATGCTCGCGAATACCACTTGCCCCAAGGCTTATAGTGGGATCTTTGTTTGTACATGTTGTGATGCCTGGGTTTGTGTGCGTGGATGTGCCGATGCATGTGTGTGTTTGTCTTATGTGTTACACTGTATCTGTGTTACATTGCGTTTTTATTTATTATGCACGTTTGCGTATGTACGTGCCGTACACACGCTCACAGCACTTGCCCCAACAGTCTGTTCAGGCTATACGGGGCATCTTTGTATGTATGTGCGTTCGTACACATGTCCATACGTACGTAGGGTTCTCGCTCACAGCACTTGCCCTGACAGTCTGTGCAGGCTATGCGGAGGAACCTCTGTCTTTTGTGAATGCATGCACGTCCGTCTATGTCCGTGCGTGAGTGTGCTCGCTCACAGCACTTGCCCCAACAGTCTGTTCAGGCTGTTCGGGGGGCAATCTTTCTCTGTGTGCACCACCCACGTGTGTGTCTGCGTGTCTGTAAATCGTGAGTTCAATTGCTTGCGTACGTGCGTACATGCATCCGCTAATAACCAATGCATAGCCGATGCTACTTTGGCTGTATTGCGTTCTCGCAACATTGGCTCTTGTGACAGGTATAGCTGCTGCAGCTGCAACAGTCTATAGATATAACAAACAAAGAAAAACTCCACGCAAATCCTAAAACGGAAAAAGGTCAAATCTCCCTTCTACGTTTCCCAGCCCCAGAAATGTCACGAAATATTAGTCTTGTTCGCACATTAATAATTTATTAACATCACATACAACATGCGTGCCTATAAATGTCCTCACGTTACATAAGCTCGCGTGTGCGTGAGCGCACGTTCCGAGGGATATCGTCTATTGTTATAGGGAAGTGCGTTGCATATTACGCTGGAGGCGATATTGACACTGGCATGGCTAGAGATGGGATGATGATGATGGTGACGGCCTGGCAGTCGAGGCTAGCGACGGAATGCCAGCCAAAGGATTGAACCTCGGCACGAGGGGCTCGAACAGATGTGGAAGCGATGCAAATCGAGTCTCCGTGCACAAGGCGACGATGGGTGGACGATGGGTGGACGATGGGTGGACGACTCGTTGCAGCGTCGCGAGACCGTGGGGCCAGATCACGGCGGCGTTTGTGCGCGAAGCCTTCATTCAGCAGTGGACAGATCACGGCTGTTTGATGACGGTGATGGAATATTGATGCGAAATTGCTTCCCGCGAGAAGGCCACGCTGGGTTGGCAGCAGAGTCGTGCTGCATTGGGACATGTTGAGAAATTGAAACGGTGACGAGACTTTGCAGAAAACCCTCCACGCGTGGACATTAGAGGAGATCTCTGCACAGACAGATTTAAGGATCCACCGCTCCGCAGTTATAGTTCGGCAGGCCTCGTAGCGCTCCGTCCCTATGAACTAAACTATTGTGCCAGGCAAGAAGGCCCCACTGGGCTGTGCAGCTCTTGTTCAGAAGCGACCTGGCGATCACAAATGTGTCGCGGGCAAATACAATAAGCCACTTAACCTTGACTGCAGCCTTGCACCCCTTTTGTTTCTCAATCGTAAACAAATAAAATGTAATGTGAATAAGAACATAGGCTTGATGGAACAAAGTAGTTGTAGTTAGGTCCCAGTGCTGAATTTGTGTATCTCGCACCCCGAGCTGGGAGCTTGCACCCCAGGTGAAGAAGCACTGCTCTAAACGCATGTTAATTCTTAACGTGGATGGAGAGAGACACGCAGACTCCCAATATACAGCAGGTAGTCAGGGTCGGGATTGAACCCACGACCTCCTGTATACCCGGCGAGGTAGTTAACATCTCGCCACCGCGCTCCATAACAGAAAACACATCTTTGGCGGTTTCCCATCTAAAGTTGTAGCCATTGATCATCGGCATCAGCAGCAGCCATGCTCAATCCACTGCTGGATAAAGGCCTCCCCGAGTATCATCTTGAGCCGCTGCCACCCCCCCCCCATCTCGACATTTGCCATGTCGCAACAATCCACGCGGCACCTGCGCACGAGCTCATATCATCGCTCCATCTCCCTAACGGCCCCACGCGGGGAACGCAAACTGCCGTGGACACCGCTGCAGCTCTGATGTACGGACGAGAAACATCGAAGTCCGCAGGGGAAATGGCAGCGAATGTTAAACGTGCCCCACGGGAAGCTCGCAGGGACATGCACGCACGGCCCGGGAGACGGGACGAGGAACTCACGGATCGGGGTACAAACACAAATCGGAGCGACGTCGATTAGGGCAACAAAATGAAAATATGATAATTGTTTTTTTACCTTTCTATCTGGCAACAAAACTGACACCTTTTTACAAGGAGTCATGTTTGCATAGACCACAATACCTGCAGCCATAATGCAAGCAAAAAACATAACTCTGATAATATATGCACAATCAACTTCAAGGACAGTGCATATATAATCAGAGTTATGTTTTTTGTTTGCATTATGGCTGCAGGTATTGTGGTCTATGCAAACATGACTCCTTGTAAAAAGGTGTCAGTTTTGTTGCCAGATAGAAGGGTAAAAAAACAATTATCATATTTTTTTCTGGCAAATGAGGTTCCAATGGTGAAAATGTAAATAATTCGTACTTGGGCGGTTGGTGTCACAGCTATGCGCGGGAGGATGCCCGATGGGACGAGACTGCTAACGGAGTGTCGGCCAAAGGAAGGAGCGAGCCCACGTGGATGTAGAGGCCTCGCCGCGGACGGATGGGAGCGATGGGGTCGTCGGCTCGATCGTGCGCGAGCGAGACGGATCGCGCCGCAGCGGCGCGCCGGTCCGGCGAGTGATGGCGACGGGGCGGCGGAGACGTTCATTCGGTTGTGGGTAGATCCTGTCGGCCTTTTTTTTTTTACAGGTTTGATAAAATACGCACGGTGTGGTCTTGATGGAGCGGTGGCGCGGTGGGAGAAGATAGTGGCGCTGTGCATTGGCTCCCCGACCGATGCGCTGAGTTCGTATCTCCTCTCACAATTCCCTGCGGCCCCATTTGTAAATCCCGTGCTGGATGAGGATCTCCCCAAGCCGTGCGGGTTTGTTGCGGGGGGGGCGGTGGGGGGGGGGGTATTGGATCATACTTCATTCACCAGGCTTGCTCAGCGCGGCGGTTACTTGGAAGGCGGAGGGAGTAGAAGTGGAACCATAGAAGTACAGTCCAGTGGGTTTAGCTGTGCAACCGTCCTCTCTGCGGCCCACGACGTAGGCTCGCGCGGCTGGGTGCACGGTGGTCACCCAATGCAGTCAACTTCATCCGGGCTCAACCCGGCTCTCAGCTACTGAGATCTGACGAAATCGGGACAAGTCGCTGCGGGCGCTTTTGGTCGTGGTCTCCTCCGACCGAATATTGTGGCGCTCCACGCGCGAGGCATCGCTCGAGCCGCAACACGCATTGATTTGCTGACGACATGATCTGAGAATCGAAATGATCTGAGAAGTTGAAACCGATCGAGACTTTACACAAACGATTAGTTGGGGAGGTTCACGGAAGGCCGCCAGACTGGTGGATTACGAGGCAATGCTCCAATTGACTTGCGAGCAGTGTGTGTGTGTGCTGTGACACGTCAAAGCAGCTTTTGTACACAACAACAACAACAAAGTCACAGCGGTGTAGCCATCGA